CGAACATCAAGGGATTAGATTTCATCTTGGGGCGTGATTTTCTGAAGCGGTTCAACCCCGATATCGACTGGGTCAACCAGAAGGCGTGCATATACAACAACGGGAAACTTGTGGAGCTGCGAAGCTGGACGGATACAGGGGATGTCCCGGAGACAACACTTGCACGGTTCGAACGGACAGTGAACGAGAGTAACGCGGGTTACTTTGCACTGGTGATGGCAGCGGCAGGGGAGGAGAAGCCGAACTCGGAGCTACCTGCAGCAGTACAGGAGGTGTTGGAGCAGTACAAAGATATCATGCCATACGACCTGCCTGCAGGAGTACTTCCAGCGCGAACCCACGAGCATGAGATCGTGGAGGAACCAGGTGCGAAACCCGTCTCACGTGCACCATACCGCCTTAGTTCGACCGAACTGACAGACATGAAGAAACAGATTGAGTACCTACGGGACAGACAACTGATCCGCCCATCCACCTCTCCCTATGATGCACTAGTTCTCTTCACTCCAAAGCTAGACGGTAGTTTACGGATGTGCATCGACTACCGGGCACTGAACAAACAGATAGTAAAAAACATATGCCCCATACCGCGGATAGACGATCTTCTAGACCAACTGTGTGGTGCAACGGTGTTTTCGAAGCTGGACCTACGGTCGGGTTACTGGCAGATCAAGATGGCAGACAACTCGATCCACAAGACGGCGTTCCATACCAGATACGGCTCCTACGAGTACTTAGTGATGCCGTTCGGACTCCGCAACGCACCGGCGGCGTTCCACGCGGAGATGAACCACATCCTACGGCCCCTGCTGGATGAGTGCGTGGTAGTGTACCTGGAAGACATACTCATCTACTCCAAGAACATGAAGGAGCACGTGGAGCATCTGCGGAAAGTCTTCGAGATCCTGCGGGAGAACAAGTTCTACGTAAAGCTTTCGAAGAGCGACTTCGCCCTGAAGAAGGTGCAGTTTCTCGGGCACATGGTGAGTGCGGAGGGCGTACACGTGGACCTGCGGAAGATCGAAGCCGTCAAGAAGTGGAGAGTACCGGAGAACGTGAAGGAGTTGCAGCAGTTCCTAGGCTTCGCCAACTACTACAACAGGTTTGTGCCACAGTACGCTAAGATGGCAGCACCACTGACCGATCTACTGAAAAATGACACACCCTACAAATGGGATACTCCTCATCAGCAAGCCATGGAGCAGCTACAAACAGCACTGACTACAGTACCAGTACTCATCTTACCGGATCCAGACAAGGACTACGTGGTGGAAGCAGACGCTAGTGACCAGGTAGTCAGAGCAGTATTGATGCAGGATCACGGACGCGGTTTGCAGCCCATCGCCTACCTCAGTAAGAAGCTACACGGAGCAGAACTGAACTACCCCATCCATGACAAGGAAGTCTTAACGATAGTCATAGCCTTCAAGACGTGGAGGTGTTACTTACAGGGAGCCAAGACTACAGTTTACACTGACCACTGCAATCTCAAACACCTGAAGTCGCAGCCGACGCTCTCACGACGACAGGTGCGGTGGGTGGACTTCCTGGAAACTCACTTCCATTACGACATCGTCTACAAACCCGGGCTACACAACAAAGCAGACGCGTTGAGCCGCCCCGGACATGTAGCAGGCATCCAGCTCGACGGGATGAACCCTCTGATCAAGGGTCTATTCCAACATGGATACTCCGTGGACGCAAAGATTGCTATGGCAGAGAAACAGAAGCTGTTACAGTGGGAGAAAGACTTAGCTGTAAGGAAGAGTTCAGGGGAGATTCGGGTACCGAACTATGCCCCACTCCGACAGATTCTGCTGGAGGAGTTTCACAACGTACAGTACGCAGGACATTTCGGGAGTAACAAGACGTTAGCAGTGATAGCGAAGTATTACTTCTGGCCCGGGATGGCAGCAGACGTGCAGCAGTTCGTCAACTCATGCGACATGTGCCAGCGGATGAAGAGTAGCAAGCAGAAAAAAGCAGGGTTACTTCAGCCTCTACCCATACCGGAGCAGCCATGGCTGGTCAATAGCCTCGACTTCATCGCAGGACTTCCTTCGACCTCACGAGGGCATGACGCTATACTCGTGGTGATTGACAAGTTCTCTAAGATGGGACACTTCATCCTGACCAACGCCATGGCTAGAGCTGAAGCAATTGCTCGCCTCTTCTTCGACCGCATCATCACCATCAACGGCATCCCTGCTACACTCATCTCAGAGAGACCCAAAGTTCACTAGTAACTTATGGAGGGAACTCATGGGTTTGTTGGGGACAAAGCTCGCAATGTCTTCAGCATACCACCCCCAGACTGGCGGACAGACTGAGCGACTCAATCAGGTGGTTGAACAGTTACTGCGCACCATTTACAAAGACGACGCCAACCATTGGGATTCACAGTTACCGACACTTGAGTTTGCTTATAACAACGCGTCACATGCGGCCACAGGGAAATCTCCTTTGTTCCTGTGTTACTAACGGGAACCACTTACACCACAGCAGTCAACCACACCGGCACACATCCATGCCGCACATGACTTCGTCACGACCATGCAGTAGCTATGGGAGAAGACTCAGCGACGCCTCACCACGATCCAGACCTCCCAGAAGCAATATGCCGATTGCCAACGACGTGATCACACCGTAGCGGTCGGAGATCAGGTGCTTCTTGACACGCGCAACTTGAACCTGTCTCACCTACCATCCATGCTCCAGCCTCGCTTCTGTGGCCCTTTTCACGTTGAGGCACAGGTGACACCTGTAACATTCCGCTTGCGCTTACCTACAACGTGGAAGCTTCACAACGCTTTCCATGTTCAGCTACTGAAGCCCTACAAGGACCCCAACCAACATTTCCAGGGACGCCAGCTACCGCCACCACCACCTGTTCTCGTACATGATGAACCAGAGTACGAGGTGGAAAGAGTTCCTGCTCATCGACGCAGACGCGGCAACACGCTCAAGTTCCTGATACGCTGGAAGGGATATGACCCATCAGAGGACAGTTGGGTTGCAGAAGCTGATATGGGCAACGCACGCCGTGCTCTGAAGGACTATCTTGTCAAGCAGGGTGTTTCTCACGCCACCCAGCTTTGAGGGGGGGACGTGTGAGAGTATGACGGCTTATGCTGGCTTTGCTAGCTTGCCTGGACTTTATTATGCTATTACTAGCTTAGGTATTTTTTATCATGCATAGATATGCTTGATTTCCTAGGTTAGGTGCATTCCTATACGTTATTATAATTATAGCACCGAACCAGGTTACGTGTACCGAACTCAAGCCTTTTCGGTTCCCACCGAATTGCTTTCTACCGGGAATTGCTTTTCAGTTCGGGAAGGTTCTATTCGGGACGCTTCGTGACCCTCAGAGCATTCGCGGAACACATGGGTTACCTGCCTTGTGTCGAGCCTATATATAGCCTCGCCTTGTACCCAGGTGGATCATTCAATATATTTCTCTTTCCTGAACCAGATCCTCACAGACTGTGGCAACAAGTGACGATGGATTTCGTCACGGGGCTGCCAGCTGGACCGTCCGGCAACGACGCTGTACTCGTCGTCGTCGATCGCCTCACGAAAATGGCGCACTTCGCACCATGTCATACAACAATCACAGCCGAAGAACTGCGCACCTCTTCATCTCAACCGTCCTGCGACTGCACGGAATCCCTTCGGCGATCGTCAGCGACTGGGACCCGAAGTTCACTTCGAGGTTTTGGAAGGAAACGTCGGCGCAGTACGGCATGAAGCTACAGTTTTTGTTAGCATACCATCCACAAGCCGACGGCCAAATCGAGCGGACCAATCAAACGATTGAGCAGCTGACCAGGACAAACTGCCCCGACCCTGCTCGTTGAGAAACGACACTAGCCATGCTGGAGTTCGCGTTCAACAACGCACCGTCTAACACGACTAATCACTCCCCGTTCTTCCTGAATCACGGGATGGACCCGGTGGTACCAATAACGACTACACTTGACAACCCAGTCCTACGGTCATAAACATTCGTAACAAAACTTCAGGAGATTCGCGAGAAAGTAGCCGACGGAATTTGCAAGGCGAATATCACTGCCCGGAAATACTCGGATCTTCTACGACGGGAAATCATCATGACGCTTGGGCAACTAGTCCTACTCGACACGAAGAACCTATGCCTGCCCGGCTCGAACAAGCTACAGCCACGATTTTGTGGGACGTTTCGCATCATACAGATGGTGACACCTGTCACCGCGAAGCTGCTGCTACCCGACGACTGGCGTGTATATGACGCCTTCCATGTCAGCCTCCTCCGCAAGTTCGTGACTGCCACGACAAACATTGCGCGCCGGAACGCCGCCTCGACAGCTCGGCCTGTCCCGTAACCGACTACCGAACCTTCGAAATTTTTGGGGCATCGTATTCGGCTCGACGCCACTGGCCGCCACGTGGACTTTTTGGTCCGATGGATCGACCGCACCAGTGAGGACGACACGTGGGTGCCATCCGCCTCGCTTGAAGCTTCTCCGCTCCTTGGTGATTATTTCGCCCGCAAGCGAGTTGCGGGTATTGACCACCTGTCTTAAGGGGGGGGGGGGGGGAGAGGGTAAGGATTTTTCCGTATCTTTACCAGGGTTGACTGCTACGCGTACAACCCCGAATTTTCGGACTTCACACGTTCGGCCGACATCCATGATGCCGAGGCTCCTCCGCGTCGCCTTCGGCTTTCCGTCGCCAAACCTGCACCCAACCGCGTTTCCCAAGGTTCCCTCCTAGCTAAGGTAGTCACTATATATAGTCGCGTGCCTTCATTGTATTGACAGATCATTAAGTCACAGCTAAGTTATTCGTTATTCCGCGCACTCTCCATTACAGCTCATAACACAACATAATGTATAAAAGATAAGCCCAGGTAATCCACCATGTATAAACTTGCTAAAATTCATAATGTATCAATAAAGATTTAGTATTGTTACTTTCATATAAGTCTACATTCTCAAACTCATATTCTACAACTCATACTATCGTGAAGGGGCAGGGAGGAATAAGCAATGCTGGGGTGTGATCATCACACAGCGGGTGAGCAACATCCGCACTGCGGACGTCTGATGATTGCTCTGCTGGGAAAGATGCCTGTCACGAGGGCAGGAGGTAAATTGGGCGGGAGGTAAGAAGGGTGGGAGGTAAGGAGGGCGGATGGTAAGGAAGGCGGGAGGTAAGGTTGGTAGGAGGTAAGGAGGGCAGGAGGCGGGCGGTGTAAGGGAAAGTGAGGGCAACAGCAGGGGGCACGAAGGCGGAAGTGGAATGGCATCACGGGCTGGTGGGGGGAAGCAGTGCAGAAGGCGGGGGGAAGCACGGCAGAGGATGGGGGGAGCAGGGCCAAGGGTGGTAGACGGGGTCCGAGTGAAGTAATTGGGAGGAAGAGTACGTCAACAGGGAAACCAGAGAGAGAGAGAGAGAGAGAGAGAGAGAGAGAGAGAGAGAGAGAGAGAGAGAGAGAGCCAGACAAATCAATTTGGCAGCGAGATTGGGGAGGTTGATAGAAAGGCAGAAAGAGAAGGGAGAAGATAGGGAGAGATGGAAGAGAGGAGAGATAGTGGGAGGGATACGAAGAGAGGGAGTGCGGGAAAGGAAGACCAAGGGGGTGGGAACGAGGGATGGAGGTAGAGCGGGCGAATGCAATGGCGACGAGGGGAGGGGACGCCAGACAGTGGACTCGCTGTATCTCCCCCTCTGTCCCTCCCCCTCTTGTCCCTCCCCCTCTGTCCCTCCCACTCTGTCCCTCCCCCTCTGCCCCTCCCCCTCTTGTCCCTCCCCCTTTGTCCCTCCCCCTCTGTCCCTCCCCTTATGTCCCCCCCCCCCTCTTGTCCCTCCCCCTCAGTCCCTCAGCAACTGTCCTGCCCCCTCTATCCCTCCCCCTCTTGTCCCTCCCCCTCTATCCCTCCCCCTGTGTCCCGCTCTTCCTATCTCACGGGTACGTGGTGGCGAACGAGGGTGAATGGTTGGGGGGATGGATGCGGGTGTGTGAGATCGCGGGCTACACAACCAATTGCGGGCGATGAGGGGAAGCGAGGGCTTTAGGGCAGGAATGGGGAGCGCAGGTGGGTGGAATGTGAGGGGGAAGGAAGGTGGTATGTTGGGAGGAAGGCAGTTGGCATGTGGGGGGAAGCTGGGGGGTATTCCTGAATCCACGCCAGCGCCTCCAGATCTTCCCATATATCCGCTAGCCCCCACTTCCTCTCGCCCCGCTCCCGCTCTCGGTCTGCATTCTTCGCCATAGCCATCAGGCATGCAGATGGCTGCACCTTCGGTGGGTTCCTGGACAGGCCATCCACATGCTGTTTTATCTCGAAGTCGTACTCCTGCAATTTCATTGCCCAGCGCGCGTTGCCTCCTGTAAGGTCTGGTGTGTGCATGATCCATAGCAGAGGCTAATGGTCTGTCACCAGTGTGAATCTCCGCCCGTGCAGGTACACTCTGAAGTGCTTCACCGCCCACACCACCGCCAAGCCTTCTCCTTCGTATGACGAATAGTTTGCCTCCACCCCATTGCAGCTCTGGCTCGCGAATGCCACCACCTTATCCACACCCTCCTTCATCTGAGCCAACACCGCTCCCATACATGCACTGCTCCAATCCTTGTAAAGTACAAACGGCTTGTCCGCCTTAGGCAGCTCCAGCACTGCCCCATTTTTCACCGCTCCCATCAGGTCATGCACCACCTTCTCCTGTTCATTACCCATTTCCATTTCTGGGCCTCGCGTAGCAGCTGATTCAGCGGCGTAGCACGCCGGCTGAAGTTCGGCACAAATTTGCGGTAGTAATCGAGGAACCCCAGCAGTGCCCTCAGCGCACTCTTATCCTTTGGCACCGCGACACGGTCCAAAACCTCCACCTTGGCTTTCTAGATGCCTATCTTTCCTCCTTCCACCTCGAATCGCAAGTACACCGATATCTTTTCTCCTCCTCCTGTGGTACACCGGTATCTCTGTCGTTAGCTCGATGGTTATCTCCGCCACCTTACAGCGCCCCACTTCCTTTAGTGAGAAACCAAACGCCGCTCTATGCTGCCTCAGTACCTCCTTCAGCTTCGCCGCATCCTCTTCCGACATTCCTTCCCCGATTTCCCACTCCTTCTGCTCCTTCGCGGCTTCTTCCCTTGCTATCCTTGGCTCCGCCTCCATGCCCCCTGTTGCCTTCCCAGCTTGCTTCGTTTGCTCTTTACTGATGGCCATCGGCGCAAACTCCAGCGGAAGGGTCCAGTGGAGTCGAGCGGCCGAACTCTCTCTCATAGCTCTCTCTTCTCCTCGTTTCTTCCAGGGCCTCCTCCAGCCAGCTGAAGTCCTCCGTCTTCGAGTCCACCATCTCCTCTTCTCGCGCCCTTGACAGCCGTATCTCAGCCTGCTCCGTGTACGGCTGGTAGTCTTCTCCCTGCTCGTCCCACGGGTAAACCCACCTCCTCTCAACTGGATGGCCCAGGGTCTGCTGCGCCCGTTCCGTCTCCTCTAACTATCCCAGCATAGCCCTTGCCATGGCCTCTTTGGCTGCTGCCCCCGCTGTCTGCGGCCTCACCCTGCAGCTTTCTCTCCCATCTCGCCTGCGCATGATACATCTGTATCGTCGCCACCAACCAGTGCATCATGTTCAAGTCCATGGCCCGTCCCAGGGCCCTCCTCCTCTCCTTCTCCGTCACCTCTCGATGTGTCGTCGCATCCTCCATAAACCCCATCGCCAGCTCCCTCTCCACTGCCGTCGGCTCCTCCCAAACTTGGTTATCGTAGTCGTATACCATTCCCGGCCCGGGCTCTACCTCTTGCTCAATGAACGCCGCGGCCCCTTCAAAGGACACCAGAGTCGACCAGGCCTGCCTCGGTTGCCCCACCACATTGCACTGGAACTGGGTGGGGTGGTCCGGCTGTGTTACTGGCGCTGGCGCTCTATGCCGTTTCAGGATGTCTTCCACCAGCAATGGCGCCGGTCGTTCCATTAGCGACAGTCGGTAACGCAGGGCCGCTTTTGTCGCCCCGTTCATCCAGTACCTCCACACTCGATGCATGCGGCTTCCTGCCTGTGCCGAATCACAGGCCACACCCGGCCCCAGCTCCGTGGTCACCTCTTCATGGGCCACTCGTACCTGCTCCTACACATCTCCCTCCATATCCACATTCTCCACAATATACAGCAGGTCACCCTGGATATTTTTTATCAACTTCAACACCCTTACAAGCTCCCTGAAGAGCCGACTCCGCTTGTCTCTCATGCCTGCCCCTTCCCCCGCGCGCGAGTAACCCTGGCACTCCCAGCTAGCTATTACTATATCTATTCTCCCCCAGCGCCTTATCATTGCCTCATCCACGTATTGGATGTCACTTCCTTGGCATTCCGTACTAGCCTCTATCGCTCCCCTCGTGAACTGATAAGGGTACCGCTGCTGTAGCTGCTCCGCGTGCCATCTTCACCACCTCTGAGTCCTTTTGTACGAGTATCCACTTGTCTAAATATGCTCCCGCTTTCAACATCGCCGCCAATCCCATGCCGATACCGCCGAACAGCTCTAACACCACGGTAGGTCCCAGCAGGCGCTTCGTGTTCAAGCATAGCTGTTTTAGCGGAGTCTCCGGCTCTTCATTGCTAGGCGGCCGAACTCTGGTTCTCGGCAGATCTTGCCAAGACAGCACCCCCAGTTCCGCCCTTACGTCCGCCTCCGTGCACTAGTAAGCTTCTCGAGGTTCTCTTCGCACGAACCGCACCGGCATTGAACCGATTGGCCCCGTATGCTCCCAGAAGCGCACGCGGTACTCCACTTTCTCCTCCCACATACAAATCGTTGACCCCACGCCGTATAAGAACTCCACCTCTATGAGCAGGTCAAAGTCTTCCGTTTCTTATACCACGCAGCACACTTGCAACACGCATTCCTCCGGCTTGCCTGGGTCTAGCACTAGCGCCATCGGTTTCCTCGTCCTTGGCATCCATTTTGCCTCTCCCCCTTCCGCCGTCATCAGTAGATACCCTTCCTTTTGGATGCACGTCATTCAGAGTGCATGTCATCCTAACGTCCTGCCGAGTGCTCGTGCTATTCATGCGTGCATTGTTTGCATGAGCATATGTCATTGTGCATGGCTGTTGGATATTGTCATCTCTGTGTTTTCTCCAAGTTTAAATGCTTGATCATGCAGGAGAAATCCAGAGCTTTCCAACGATACCAAGATCGCCTTATTCCAACCAAGATCGCCCAAGTTACAAGATTTCAAGGCTTTGGGAATTCTATCTCATTTTGAGATATTATCTACATTGGGCGATTATTGGGACATGACTATAAAAGGGATCTTTGGTTGGGTGGTTAGGAAGCCAACTTTGACTTTCGGATTTTGGGTGGCTAGAAGCTTCTAGCATGGGTTGCAAATGTTGCAACACCTAGGCAAAATCCAACTAGATTGGATTTTGCATGTGACACCTCAAGGACCTCATGATGAGGGTTGCATCCTTGCTGCTAAGAAGGTTCCTACCATCATTCCCTAGCTCTTGGAGAACACCTTCCCTCTCATGGTTCTCTTGGAGTCCCCAACTCCAAGATTCCATGCCCTAATGCTTGTACTTCCTCCACCATTCTAGTCATGCGGCTGCTGGACGATTTTACTTGGTTCTCACTCTATAGACCATCTTAGCGACTGATTCAACTTGGAGATGGTAGCTAAGCCTAAGGCGCACAATCCCACCGAGCGGATTTGCGTTTAGTTGAGAATTCGATTCGTAGTAAGTTCTCAAAGTGACGGATCCTGAACAACACTTCCCGCACCAGGCACCCTGGCTGCCTCAGCTGTAGCTTGTCTGCCAACCGCCTACCACTCAGCACATGCGCCGCCCCCGTGTCCACGATGGCTTGTGGCGCCTCCAACCTCCTATCGTCATCGCTCCTGGCTCTATGGTCAGCACCGTGGCCTGACACTCCATTCGCTCCAACGGATGCCTGAACGCCGTACGTTCCTCCCCATCCGCTTCGGTCGCCATGCCTCTCGGTCCGTCCTCTCGTCTTTCGTCCTGCCGGAAAAAAATCTCTGCGTGCTTGGCTCCTTAGCCCCAACTCTTCTCGGTCCCTCGCCGGCCTTGCCATCACCATGAACACATGGCTCGCTTCTTCCTCTTCTTGCGCCAACATCGCCGGCTGACGTTCTTCCTTAGCTTCTAGTGCCGCCAACTGCGCTCTTAGTGGGGCTATCGTCGCCTGTTTGTCCTCCGCCTCTTCCCCTCCCCTCCGATCCTTCCGGTTCGAGTAGCAGTCAGCCTGCTTGTGCCCACGTCTTCCGCAGCGTTCACACACTGGTGCTTTCGGACACTCTCTACATAGATGGGAGCGATCTCCACGCAGCGAGCATGCCGATGGGTTTAGGGTTCCCTCCGCATATGACCTGGCTGCCCACAGTTATGGCACCTCCGCTCGTCTCCTCGCGACCTCGTCTTTGGCCCTTGATACGTGGGCGCCGCCGTCCAAGCTGGCCGTCGTCGCTCCGGCCCGCGTTTCCACCCTTTTTACGATCTCGTATGCTTCCTTCAGGGTAGCATCCGGTCCCAATTCAAACTCTCGCACCTCCACATCCTGCCTCAAATCCGCGTGCAGCCCGTTCATAATTTTTCCCACCAGCCTTCCCTGATCCTGGCAATTCATGCCTTCACTCAACTTCATCAGTCTTCTGTAGTACGCAAGCAATGATTCTCTGTTTTGGCGAAAGAACTCGCGAAACTCCACGACTCGTTCAGCCGTCTGCAGCAGAAATTGCTCTCATTGCATCGATAAAAATCGTGCAGTCGGATCCCGCTCCCCGCGCGCTCGCTCCGCCGCCCACTGCAGGAGCTCCTTCCTCGAAATCCGACAGTACGTCTCTGCTTCACCTAAGAGAGTATTCGCCAGCCCTCGAAGGAATTCCTCCGGGTCCAGCCTGTCCTTCTCCCATCGCGACTACAGGTTTTCCAGTTGCATGACATAGTTCTTTAGCGAAGGTCCTCGCTTCACATCACCGGAGAATCTTTTAGGCACTTCAACCTTCGGCAGCTGTGTATAACGCCACCTCTGCACTGCTGCCTCGTCCTTCGTTCCCTTCTAGGAGGTGCTCCTTTGATACCCGCTCGGCCCGCCCTCACGCTCTTTAGACGGCGCCGTCCTTCGCTGCCCACCTACCATCCCTTCTTCTGGTACGGAGGCTTCTCCCAGCGTTCCTCCTGTACGCGCACTGCCCTGTAGACCGGACGCGCCATCGCTAGGCCCTTCCTTGTTAAAGTTTAGAAGAAAGAAGATGATTGCACTAGCAAGAATGAGGATACAAATAGCAAACCCTAGAAGGGTTGTACTCGCTATAGAGCACCCCACTACAGGCTAGAGCATAAGATAACATTCTGACACACCCCCATAGCCAAAGTGGGGTGTAATCAGCAGAGTAAGCAAAGGAGTACAAGCTCAGGGTGGATCACAATGTCACCACACATTCTGAGCACAAGTTCAAGAAGCAATAGTTTAAGTTCACAATTATGAGCAAAGCTAGTGGTAGTCACAACGGGCAAGTAAGGAGGAGGAGAGAGAGTGAGAGGAGAGGAGATAGGAGGCGACGGCTGAAGCTGCAGACACACGGGCAACAGGAGGCAGACTGGCACAGCGGCTACCGGACGAAGTCCCCGGAATACAGGAGTAACAGGCCCCGCGGCTAAAGTAGCGGCAGACGAGCAACGGACCCACGGGCGGCTGGCACAGCTGGCTACGACTGGGCTACCGGACGAAGTCCCCGGAATACAGGTGCTGCTGGCGACACGACGGCAACCTCCATTCAGCTTCCCCAAACTATCCCACTCCCCCCTGGCACATACCCGCTGCTACACCGCTAGCTCCACTCCCCCTTCACCCCCCCTTAGTACCACTCCACCGGCTCCAACACGTCCACCCCCCCTCAGCGGCAGCTGCAGCACAGGGAGACGGAGGAGGAGGAGGAGCAGGGAACAGTACACAGTGGGTGCACCCCCATACCCCGCACCCCCAAACCCTAATACAGGAGAATGGGGAGTAGGAGGGGTGGGGCACGAGTAGAAGCGCTGGGGGACAGTAGGGAGGGCAGGGGCAGCAAGGAGCGGGCCCACCACGGACGTGGTAGGGTCGCCCGAACCGCGCGTAGGCGGCCTGAGCCGCGCGCGGGCCTGGCGCCGCCCGTACGGGCCGCGCGCGGGCCTGGCGCAGCCCGTACGGGTGGCG